CTATTTCTACCTACCCAGTCTCAATGGAAGCTACTCTCATTTCCACCTGGATGGTCTGTCGGCTTCTCTAATTCATATTCACCTCATACTAGACCTCTGTTGTTTTCTTCTGGCCAAATCCATTTCCCCTTCTTTCCTGCTATTTCTGTGGTAGCTCAAAGCAATTTTTCTATGGTAGCCCACCTTCTCTGATTTCATACAGTCTTGGAGAAGCCAATCAGATGTTCTGTCTCCAGAATTTAAATCTTAAGCTGAAATGACAGTCTGAAAATGATTAGATTCCAAGAGTGAAGCCACAAAAGAGACTGCCTAATAGTTCCTGCTACCTAGATCTCTGATGCGCTCCTGATTCTTGTTTTTTTCTGAGTTCTAATTCTTCAGCTTTTTCTCCTCTCTATGTGCTAATCCATGCCCTTTCAATAATTAAGTTAGAAAATTGATTGCTACCACAAAGCCATAAATTATACAGCCTGAAATGTTCTCCTTCTCCTAACTTCCCTATTTCCATTAGTGACACTACAATCCTCTATGTCACCTTGGCTGGAAACTTCATTTTCACGAAGTTCATTTTTACACTTCCTTTTCTCTTGGCCTCATTCAATCCATTGACAAGAATTATAGACCCAAACTGTACAGCATGTCTTGAGATTTCTCCCTTTCTAGACCCATAGGTACCTCTCTAGTTCAGACCCACATTACATCTGACTTAGAGAGGCAATATAATGGAAATATCAAGGCCTTCAGATTCCCCTACCAAGGCTTAAAATCTGGTTTTTCTCACTGATTTGCTTGAGTTCTTTGTAGATCCTGGTTATTAACCCTTTATTAGTTGTATAGCTCGTGAATATTTTCTCCCATTCTGTAGGTTGTCTATTTGCTCTGTTGATTGTTTCCTTGGCTATGCAGAAGCTTTTTAATTTATTCAATTCCTATTTATTTATTTTTGTTGTTGCTGTGATTGCCATTGGGGTCTTCTTCATAAATTCTTTCCCTAGGCCAATATCTAAAAGAGTTTTTCCAACATTTTCTTCTAGAATTCTTATGGTTTCATGCCTTACATTTAAGTCCTTTATCTATTTTGAATTAATTTTTGTTAGTGGTGAGAGATATTGATCCTGTTTCATTCTTCTGCATGTGGCTATCCAGTTGTCCCAGCCCCATTTATTGAATAGGGGTTCTTTTCTCTAGTGTATATTGTTGTCTGCTTTGTCAAAGATCAGTTGGCTATATGTAGATGGTTTTATATATGGGTTCTCTGCTCTGTTCCATTGGTCTACGTCTCTATTTTTGTGCCAAAAATTTGGTTTGGGTTACTATAGCCTTGTAGTATAGTTTGAAATATGGTAATGTGATGTCTCATGATTTGTTCCTTTTGCTTAAGATTGCTTTGGCTACTTGAGCTCTTTTCTGGTTCCAAACAAAGCATAGAATTATTTTTTTCTAGATCTGTAAAATATGATGTTTATATTTTGAAGGGGACTGTATTGAATTTGTAAATCACTTTAGGTAGTATGGACACCTTAACAATGTTGACTCTACCAATCCATGAGCATGATATGTTTTTCCACTTGTTTATATCATCTTTCCTCAGTGTTTCTTAGTTCTCTATGTGGAGATCTTTCACTTCCTTAGTTAAGTATATTCCTAGGTATTTTATTTTCTTTCTAGCAACTGTGCATGGTATTGAGTCTTTGAGTTGACTCTCAGCTTGACTGTTATTGGTATATAGGAACGCTACTGATTTGTGTACATTGATTTTGTAACCTGAGACTTTGCTGAATTTATTTATCAATTCCAGGAGTCTCTTAGTGTAATCTTTGAGGTTTTCTAGATATAAGATCACATCATCTGCAAAAAGCAGTAGTTTGACCTTCTCTTTCCTGATTTGGATACCCTTAATTTCTTTCTCTTGCCTGATTGCTCTGGCTAGGACTTCCAGCACTATGTTGAATAGAACTGGTCACAGTGGCATCCTTGTCTTGTTGCAGTTCTTAGGGGGAATGCTTTCAACCTTTCCCATTCAGTGTGATGCTAGCTGTGGGTTTGTCATATATGGCTCTTACAATTTACAGATATGTTCCTTCTATGCCTAGTTTGTTAAGGATTTTTATCATGAAAGGATGCTGAATTTTGTTGCACGCTTTTTCTGCATATATTGACACATCATATGATCTTTGTTTTTGCTTCTGTTTATGTGGTGAATCACATTTATTGATTTATGTGTGTTGAACCATCCTTGCATCCCTAGAATGAAGCCCACTTGGTCATGGTTGGTTATTTTTTTGATGTACTGTTAAATTCGGTGGGCAAAAGACATGAACAGAAGCTTTTCAAAAGAAGATAGATAAATGGCCAGTAAACATATGAAAAAATGTTCGATGTCACTAATCATCAGGGAAATACAAATTAAAACCACAGTGAAATATCACCTTACCCCAGTTAGAATGGCTCTTATTAAAAAGTCCAAAAACCAATAGATGTATATATGGTGTATATACAGATAGAAAGGAATACTTATACACTGTTGTAAGACTGCAAATTAATACAACCTCTATGGAAAACAATGTGGAGATTCCTCAAAGAACTAAAAGTAAACCTACAATTTGACCCAACAATCCCACCACTAGGTATTTGCCCAAAGGAAAAGAAATCATTTTATCAAAAAGATACCTGCATTAAAATGTTTATTATAGCATAATTCATAATTGCAAAGATGTGGAATCAACCCAAGTGCCCATCAATTCATGAGTGGATTAACAAAATGTGGTATATGTATACCATGGAATACTACTCAGCCATGAAGAAGGATGGCTTGATGCCTTTTGCAACAATTTGAATGGAACTGGAGATCATTATCCTAAGGGAAGTATCTAAAGAATGGAAAAACAAACACCACATGTACTCACTATTAAATTGGAACTAACTGATAAGCACATGTGTACATAGAGGGAAATAAAACTCAATGGAAATCAAGCAGAGAGAAGGGGGGAGTAGAGGATATATGAAAAACTACCTAGCAGATACAATGAACACTATATAGGTGATGAGCACACTTTTAACCCTGACTCAAGCATTACAAAAGTGATTCATGTAACCAAAAACATTTGTACTCCCATACTACTTTGAAATATAAAAAGAAAAATCTGGCTTTTCTCATTAGCTGTGCTGCCTAAGACAAGCTAATTAACTTCTTTGAGGCTTTATTTTTCCAGTTGTTAATAATACCTATCTCATAAGATTATAAATATTAAATAAGATCATATGGGTAAAGTTCCTTATATCATTTATTGCTTATAGTTGGCATTCAAATTAATTACCATTATAATTGATTTCATTAGCCTATAATTGGTTCCAGCCTCCATTTTCTCCCCATTCTGATACTTTTGACATAAAAATGCCGAATTAATTTTTATATATCTATATTTTTTAATTCATGTAACTTCTCTAAGCTGATAGCTTTGAAAGTCCCCCTTTATCTAACAAACTAAATTCAGGCCCTAATAGCACGTCAATCAAGGTCCTCCATCCTATCTTCTACTGTCCTCAACTCAATCTGTTTCCCACACTGACAGGACTACTGCCTCTTCTATGAACACACTCTGCCCTTTTCTCTCTTGCATTTCTTTGCTCACTCTTTTATCTCTATATTCCTATCAAATTTCTACCTGTTAGAATCTTAAATTAGTAAATAAATGTAAGATGTTTAAAATAGTGCCTGGCATGTAGTAAGTGTTCCTCAATAAATGTTAGCTGCTGTTATGGCTACTCTGTGTCTATGAAATGCAGTGTATGAAGGCAGGAGGGGAGGAGAAAGAGAAAGGGAAAAATTACATCAGGTTGTTAAATTAGCAAGAATGAAAATCCTACCCATTCTGGGCTCCAGGAAATCAAGATGAGTAAGACAAAGCCATGGTCCTCAAGGGGCACAGTGTACAGAGGAAACAGATACATAAATGAGGATGAGCATGCTATATATACACTATGTACAAAGGCATTTTGAAAGTCTTTCACAGGACCTGGCAAATTTGTCACGCATAATAATTATAATATATCATTTTAACTGTTGAGAGAAAATATCCTACTTATTCTACAAAGTTCATTTCAAACTCTTCCTCAGCCATGAAGCCTTTTCCCACCTTCCCAAACATATGTGACCCTTCCACCCAAGTATATTGTACTTCTCTTAGATCACTTATCATTTTTTACACACTTGCTTTATTCACTCTACTGAATTGTAAGCCTTAAGGTAAGCCTTGCTCATCTTTCTGGTGATAGAGTATATAGCACCATGTCTTCTACATCATAGGTGCTCAATAAATACTTTCAAAATGGATGGCATCACCTTCAATAGACTGTCCAATCATTTTATTTTATTTGGCTTTTGTGGTGAACATTAATTGTAAAAAGACAATCATCTCTTTTACAGGTTGTCCTTTCAATTGTTCTTTTCCATTAGTGTTAAATATTAATACTGGGCTGCATTTACTATAACATCAATTACAAGTATTGAAATATATCATTGTTTCTCCCTTCTATATTTCTCTTCCATCAATACTTTATAGGGTCTTACCTGAGCTGGGGCAGTGACATGACCATAGCTCACTATAGTCTCAAAATCCTGGGCTCCAGTGATCCTCCCACCTAACCTCCCAAGTAGCTGGGACTCCAGGTGCATGCCACTATGCCTAGCTAATATTTTTTTTTTTATTTTTGTAAAGACAGGGTCTCACTATGTTGCCCAGGCTGGTCTTGAACTCTTGGGCTCAAGTGATCCTCCCACCTTGGCCTCCCAAAGTGCTGGGAGTACAGGCATGAGCCACTGCACCTGGCCAAGATACTACTTCATTTGAATGACTTTCATGGTTTCTTAGTATTTATGAATTATGTTGTATAAATTGAGCAAGGCCTAAAGAGTGTGTTACCTGGATTTACTTGTCTTTGATGTCTTATTTTTTTGCTCTTTCTTTCTAATAACACCATTTTCCATTTACTTTCTGTAGGTAAATGTGAATGTAAGGAACAGGTGTTAGGAAATGCCAAGGCATTCTGTGGAATGAAATATTCATATGGTGAGTTTGAAACCCATCTGGCTGATGACATTCTCAATAAATTATAGCATTGGCCTTACATTATAATACTAAACACGATATTCTGGTCTTAAGCTAGATTTTCCTAATGTAAATGGTGTTGAATATCTTCGGGAGAACAAGATGCTTGTAGAGCAAAAGCAGTGCTATTGTACTATAAGAAAAGAGGCAAAGAGCAAAAAGAAGAAGTCATGACACATAATCCTTTCCCACAGATGCTTCTTGCCTTATTAATCTAAAAGGGAAGTCTTTAGCCATTTAAATGATTCCTGTGTTGTTTTGTCATGTGGGAATAATAAACAGAAATCAGCTTAAGGCAGTATTTCACAATGGTTAAGAGCACAAGCTTTGGACTGAGAACTACATGGATTTGATTTCAGACTTATTGGGTGGGCAACTTAACCTTTCCAAACTTGTTTCCTCATTGGTAAAATAGGGATGATGCAGCTTCCCTCATTAAATGAGATTTTTTAAAAACATGCAGCACATTACCTAGCACATACTAGATGCTCATTAAATGGTAGGGAGGAGGAAGACAATGTATAATTGTGAGGCTCTGAGACTAGCTGTCTACCTGGGTCTCTTCCCCCTGCTCTCTGCCTTTCAAATACCAGAAAAATACATCATCCAGAAAAATGAAAATGATACTGCCCTAAATAAAGACTATCTTCAAATTCGAAATGGCTTTATATTTACTATCAAATATATTAAGGTACCTTATCTTGTGACCATATTCTTGACTAATGTCTGAGGCTTTTTATTGCTCCATAATTTACATAGCCTAAAATACACATCACAATGAAGAGAAAAATTTAAGTCATGATTTATGAAACCAAGTATTTAGGTTCTTGATAACATTATATTTCATCTCATAAAAGATAAAAAAGTAAATGGCAAAAACCTTATAAATCTTATCTAAAATTATATGCACACTTCCCTCTATTTACCCAACTTGGCTAAATAATAGAAGAAAACTTCTGAAATGTATAGTGCCCAGTAAAGGAAAGGCAGTTTAGAGGAAGTGGTATTTATTATCAGAAGCAAAAACATGATAACTTAGTCCAAAGTTGGTTAGTTCAGTGAAAAAATATCAACTGGTTCTCATCATTTAGATTTGGGTAGCTCTCTGAATTTACAAACAATCTTTTAATACAACTGTATTAATTTTCTACTTAAAAGAACTTGAATGTTCTTAATGATGTAATGAAATGTCCTGGCCTTATTAAGTACAATACTCCTACAGACTTGGAAAAAAACCTAGCCTTTCCCTTCCCCATTCTCTAGCTTTATGGAAACAAACATTTCATTTATTTATTTCTATAGTAAATATTTATTGAGTGGCAGTGAACAGAGAAGGTCCCTGCTCTCTTTGAGCATACGGTCTAGTGGGATGATAGTGAACATTTACCATACATCAGCCATGTGCCAGGCACTATGCTACACGCCCTTCATGCATTTATCTCATCAGAGTTCTAGTCCAAACCCTACTACTAACCACCCAGTCATGCAAACTTGAACAGTTCACTTAATTTCTTTAAATTTGCTTCCTTATACATAAAGCAAGACTAGATGGGTTCTTAAGACCCCTTGGAGGACTGAAATTTGATGATTCAATAAAGAGAGCTGACAACTATATTCTCAGATATAAGACCCAGCCAAGATAGGGTTATCTCATTACACACAATCTTCCATCAAGATGTAGGTGAGCCAGTAAGAACTCTCCTAATAACATGGACCATTGCATTCCAGTGTTCTTTGGGTTTACTTTCTTCCCCACCCCAACTTATTCTATAACTTACCCCCCAGCACATTCATTTTGTAGATTGAAGAGCATAATGGAATCCTGAGCCATACAGAATACTGGTGCTCTACCATCCTAGAGGGACAGCTTCCCTGACCCCAGTCAGCTTGCATTTTACACCAGGGGAAGAATATTTAGTAGTCCATAATATTACTTGATCTCTTTAGAATATGTAAAATACATTCTGGCAGTAACATTTTGCTCTCTGTCATAACATTATACACAATCAGCTATAATAGTAAAATATAGTCAGAATTTAAATATAAGCCAAGATAAGTCTCTTTCCTATGTTTCCTCTTTCTATTTAGATTTGATAGCTGAATGTATTCATATTTAAGATTATAATTGCAGTAGGCAAATGGTTGATACTCTCTTAGCATACTGATTTGAGAGAGAGTAGCAGTTGAAATTGCCTAAGAAGAGTACAGCTAATGTAGATAAATGAGATGAAACCAGTGCAAAAATGAATGAGCCTAATGATTTTTAAAGCAAATTTCCACATTCTCGTCATCAATTCACCTTTCCATTATATTATGAAATGCATATTTAAGTTGTTCAAACTTCAAAAGATAATATGAATAATATGAAATTCCATGCATTTTGACTTCTGTGTTGTTACAGTGCTAAAAATAAAGATTTTATCAGCTCATGATAAAGGTTCTCATGCGGAGGTCAATGTGAAGATTAAAAAAGTCTTAAAATCTACCAAATTGAAGATTTTACGAGGAAAGCGAACATTATATCCAGAATCATGGACTAACAGAGGCTGCACTTGCCCAATCCTCAATCCTGGTGAGTTTCCTATCTCAAAACCTACCTTGTCTCTGCTGATCTGCTGCTTGTCTTACATTCTCTGAACTACAGCCTAAACACACTCAGCAGGAGCATCTCTCCTTTTCACCATCTGAGTTCTGGGGAAAATCCAAATAGAATTCACATCAAAAAATTATTTCTCTTCCATGTGCTCTATAAAAGTAAAATATTTAAAAATCCAGCAATATAATATGTTCTATCCTAAAAGGAAAGACTCAGATTGGTTCCAGGTGCCAGTTGCATAGAAAGTACTTTATGAATTTATATGCCACTTCCTCTTTATCTGAAAGCTAGGTCCTATTATGGCAGAACCTGCTCCCAAAGGAAGTTCAAATGTAAAATTCCATCTGTGCAAATAATATTGAATTGATTTTTACTATTGCATGAGAAGCATGTGTTTCTCCTGGATAGAAAACAACTCTCAAGTTCTCATCATCTTGTTTTTCATTAAATGATCATTCTGGTCTCAAATTAGAAACAGCAGAAATAAACAAAACAAAAACTGTAGAATTTTAGAAAAACTTGGAATGGAGGGAAATTTGATTTGCACCTTAAAATGTTAGAAGTAGAGACTAGCAAGTAAGCACAGGGGTTCTTGCCTCTAAACTCTATAAGTATACTCTTCACCTTGTGTCATCAGCTATTATTTCTCTGTCTCCCTCATTAAATTTGAGGATGGGATTTAGGTTTTTTGACCATAGCCTCTCTAGTACCTACCATACAGTAGTACATACCATACACTGCTGGTATATATCAGTACCCAGATAATGGTAACATAGTACTCAGATAGTAAATTCTAGTAAAACAAATAATAATTCCAAAAAATCCTCTGTATTTCCTTGTTTATGTAGTTATCATGTGTGTTGTTGGCATTGATGAAACACGTCATAATTTATGTTCTGGATCTAATTCTTTCCTCACATAAGTCCAAGAAACCACATTTATGTTAATAATAAGTGTTTTGTGGTCTTTGATTAATAAATTTGAGATAAACAGATAACTGGAAGGCAGGGAGAAATGAAGTAGCAATAAAATATCTCCTCAGTCTAAATGATCTAAACAGTGATTGATACAGAATTGGTCATCATTATCTGCTGACCAATTTTTCATACCCTATTCTACCACTTCAATAATTTATTTAAATTAATTTAAATTTTAATAAGGAAAATAAAAGACATTTTAAATTATAAAAAATAAAGAAATATAGCACCAAAGAACAAATTGAAGTAATAAGAACCTTGGATTTTGAATACAGAAAACTAAAAAATCATTAATTTAAGTTCTATTTCCCAAGGATTTGTGCTTTGGGGCTCTTCTTATAAGCACTTTTCTACTATCTTGGCGAAAGAAAAAAAAGTCTGCCCAGTTTTTTAGGAAGACATTAAAAACAAAAGCTTTGACCATCTGAACCGCCCTCCAGGAAGTGAACTATACTTCCTAATCAGGTTTCTGCCAAGCAGAGTCAAAGAATCAACTGAGTTCATCACAATTGAAAACATAAGCGCAATTATTCAAAGAATTCTTGAAAACATGTTTACTTGCTTTGAAGAAAAGACTAGAACCTGCCAAAGCAAAACCAGACACTCTTTCATTTCACTTTGTTTTTCCATTTTTACAAGTTCAATAACTATAGCCAAAGAAAGCTGATAAGAAAATTCTGAAACCTTACACGCCAACTTGCTTCCTTTGCTGCCTTCATAAGGAGCAATCTAATTTGGGTATCCCTGCAAATGCATTCATTCTTAATTCATGTATACATTTACTCATTCATCAGTCATCTACTTTAGAATACCAAGACTACCAGTAATGTATTATATTTTCTTTTACTATGGATACAAAATAAACTTTGTTCCTTCAAACACGTAACATAGTAGATATCAAAAGCATAGAGAAAGGAAAATAAAATGTAAACGATAGTAAGAGATGTAAAAGATAACATTGTAGAAGATAACATTGTTTTGCATGTTAATTTTTGGTATAATGCTGCTCCATAATTTATGTTTTTGTTCAGTCTCACTTTTATTTAGTTTAGTTTATATTTATACTTTAAATTAATGGTAAATTCCTATAGCATTTTTTTTATTTATAGTTTCAAAGTGAATTCACTTAAAATACTAGACTTAACCCTTAAGTTTCTTAAAAAATGTTTATTGTGGGTTTTTTTGTTTTGGTTGGTTTTTTTGAGACAGAGTCTCACTCTGTCACCCAGGCTAGAGTACAGTGGTATCCTCATAGCTCACTGCAGCCCCCAACTCCTGGGCTCAAGCGATCCTTCTGCCTCAGCCTCCTGTGTATCTGGGGCTGCAGGCGCATGCCACCATACCCTGCTAATTTTAATTTTTTGTAGAGACAGAGTCTTGCTATTGCCCAGGCTGGTCTCAAACTCCTGGGCTCAAGGAATTTTCCTGCCTCAGCCTCCCAAAGTGTTAGGATTACAGGTGTGAACCACTGTACCTGGCCTGTTGTGTTTTTAAGTGAGTATTTTATTATTTTTGACATTATACAAACAATATCAAGACTATTATATTTTTAACTAGTCAGCTAATGAAAATATTGGGACTCTTTTTTCTTCAGAAGCTAAGGTTACTTTTTAAAGAATTTAAGTGCCTTATCATCCATCTTACATTATGCTCCTCAGTGTTTGAAACCTGTCATTATTTTCCTTTTTCCCTTTTTTGAAAATACCATGATAGCCATTTTTAAGTATAGGATTGGATTTTTAACAATCTTTTAAATAATTTTTCATTATTATGGAATAAATGCATGTACATTATAGAAATTTAGGGGAAATTTTTAAATTGAATATTTCCATCTCCCAGAGATCATCTCTGTTAATAGGTTAATGCAAATCCTTCCAAATCTTTCTCTATGTGTGTAGATATTATATTTTTTTAACCAAAATGAAGTCATGATATATGCTCCATTCTGTAACCTGCTTTATTAAGTTAATCAGCTTCATCTTCAATTTCAGTTTGTTTTCATATTATCTAATAATACTCAGGCCATATTCCTATTTCCCAACTGATCCCAAAATATCCTTTAGAGCTGATCTGTCTTTGCAATCATTCGATCCAGGATCACACATTATATCTAACTTTTCAGTCCCTGTCTCTCTAGCATAGTTCCTTTTTTATGACTTATTGCAGAAACCAGGTCAAGTGTCTTATAGACTATCTGACCTTCTACATTTGTCTGGTTGGTTCCTTGTGGTGGTATTTAGCTTATTCCTCTATCTCCTATATCTCTTGTAATCTCCAAAGAAGAGCTTGATTGATTCAAAATAAACATTTTGGCTAGAATCCATTGTAGATATTGTTGTATAATTCATATTGAATTATATCAGAACATATATAGTACCTGGATGGCCTATCATTGGTGTCACTAAGCTTGACCTTTGGATTATAATGAGGACAGTCTGATCCCTCCTTTGGCAATTTTGTTTTACCTTTTGAGACAAGAAAGGAATGTATAATGTAAATGTAAAAGTATGGCATTATACAAACATCCAGTTTTCCATTAACCATTCATTTAATGATTTTGTCACCAATTGATAATCCCTTCCAGAGTCAATAATTTCATTGGAGTTTGAGAAATGATGTTTTTCTAATTCTGTCTAATTCTCTTCATTTATTAGCTGACATTCTTCTGTATGAGGACTTTCTCTCCCAAGCTGAGCATTTAGGTTACCATGAAATACAATTCTTATTGTAAAGACAGGATAAATACTAAGTTCTTTCTCTTGAATTTCTAATTTTCAAAGCAAGAAATGGTTTTAACAGCTGCCTTTAAGTATGACAAATTAATTTTTCTCTGGCTTTCTCTCTTTTTGTCACTTTGGAATTATAGATTTTCATTAATTTAGTGTGTTTCCATACACACAATTATTATGTTTCTTGGTGCTCAAATAACCCCTTCCTGCTAGTTGCTGTGTCCTTTTGAAAAGACCCACATTAATCTTGAAAGCTTCCTTTTAGCACAATAAGATATCCCATGCTCACCTTCCTGACCTGGACTTGGAATAAATCAATCTCCAACAAGCCTCATTTTTTGTTTGTTTGTTTTTATTGAGACATGTTACCAAAGCCCATAGTATGTTAGTTATATCTGTTCATTATTACTAGGATGACATTTTTTCTAGGTTATTTCAGTGAATGAAGAAGAAATGAATCAAACTAAACCATGAGTTAAGCTTATATTTATAACTGAATTTTAACATCTAATGTTTTCACTTAATTTTATTTTTTATCTTATATTGGAAAGTTTTGTTTTATAAATATAATTATTTGTTCTACCCTATAATTAAAAAAATTGTTTCTAAATACAAAAATTGATATTATTACAAAGATTTACTGAGGGAGGTTATCATATTTCTTTCTATTAATGTGTACTTGATGAGACTGTTGTTTCTTTTCTTATATATATTAGTCAAAATTTTTTATTTGAAGCCTGAAAAGAAATTTGAATTACAAGGTCAGCACTAGATCTGGTCAAGCCTCATCATCTATTTAGTTTTTTTAGCATATGACAAACAAACCACCTATATTCCAAAAACACATTGACTTTGTATAGGAGATATGTGTTATCTTGTATTATATAATCCACGGCTTTCTTCCAATATGTTTTCCTAAATGGTTGTTTGACTTTTACAAAATACTCCCTTAATATACACCACCATTCACAGGGAGTCTCAAAGTATTACTGATGTATAGCAGTATGGCAAGTGCCCTGAGAACTCGCACTTCTTTATCATAGAGGGTGGCATAGTACAAGGCAAAGGTTCTAGAATCAGACAGACCAAAGTTTGAGTCAGAGTGCTGCTATTCACAGGGAGACACTTAACAAGTTTCTTAACCTTGCTGAGTCTCAGTTTCTTCATTTGTAAAGGAAGAAGAAAAAAAAATATCTGCTTTACAGGGTTATTTTCAAGACTAAATGAGGTAGTACATGTAAAGTACTTGGCACATAGTAAATGTTTACTAAATGGCAGCTCTTGTTTGTCTTTTACTCCCTATTTCAGCCATGAATATGTAAATCTACTGGAGTCACATCTCTCCCTTCAATAAAGCATGATACTCTATAGCCCCTAATTTTGTTCTCTTTTAGGCTTGGAATACCTTGTAGCAGGACATGAAGATGTAAGAACAGGCAAACTAGTTGTGAATATGAAAAGTTTTGTCCAGCACTGGAAACCATCTCTCGGAAGAAAAGTCATGGATATTTTAAAAAGAGAGTGCAAGTAGCAATAAAGATGTACAGCACATAATGGCACTTCTCTATATACAAAACACAAACATAATGGGAAGGAGACCTCAAAAATGAAACTGGAATTTTTTAAAGTGCCAAAATGTATAGAAATGTTCCAATGCATGGGCCTTGTCTAACTTATCTCTTCTGGGCCCATATTTAAATACAGTTCTATTTCATGAAAAGGAATGAAAAATCCTACAGTGATGTCTGTTTTCTATGGGACTGATTCTGAACTTCATAATTATTAAGAATATTTTAATAGCAGCATGATATTTAGCAGTAATCCATTAAGGGCAGTGCCTCTTAACAAGGACTCCTTCCAGCTTCAATTATGTTATTTACATTTGATGCTACTTAAAGTAATTAATGAGATTTTAAGAAATCCCCAACGCTACTATCAGGAAAGGTGTTTCTTAAAAAGAGCCTTCTCTTGTGTGTTAGGTATGAACTTTGGTCTGTGGGGTGTTAAATGGAACCTCTCCACATGTATATAGTATTTCCTTGTATAAAGCACTTTACTACCTACCACTTGGCGTTGTGAAAGTTCGGAGACTGCTGTTGACAGAAAGAAAAGAAAAAGCTGTGTAAGAAAACCTACTGAAACAGAAGCACTACCACTACCTGTACACAAAAGTGACTATATAAAGGAAGTTATGCTATTTAACTCTGAACACTTGGAGAGACTATATGAAGATGCAACCTAAAAGGAGACTATGTTTGCATGAAGTCTCAGCGTCGGGCTAGAGGTTAGATTCCAGGATACCAGCCATGATGAAACTTTTTTAAAAACTAAACAAGAAGAGACTTTAAAATAAGATTAAGAAATCATAAGTGTAGACATATGCTTGGATAAAGGGGAAATGGACTTTAAAATTTAAAAAGCTCATTTATTTACAATGCACTTGTATACACTTAAAAAATTATTGTAGACACAGAATTTGTTATATTTTTGTGTTTAGTATTTAAACCTGAACATCAAAACAGTTTTCTTCCTTGTCTTTCTTAAACAGTATATGGTCACTATATTTACCCATTTTTTAACACAATGTATGTGATGGTTCACCAAATTATAGTTTTTCATTATTATTCCTCTTCTAGACCCACATATAACCACTAAATATACAGTTTATTCTGTACTTGAATATACAAAACATGAACACAGTGCCATATAATTAACTTCACATACAGAACATATTCTTTTCCTGAGGTCCTGTGGACTTGCAAAAATATATATATATTGCTTTGTTAATTTGTTTTTATATTTCATATATGTAATAAAGGAATACGATCTCCTGATTTTTGTCTCATTTCCTGATCAACTCTTTCAATAATGCTAAAGACTACCTTCTCATAATGAGGATATTAAATCTAATTCCTTAAATTAAGAAAATCAAATAAGAGCTTGGTATTTCTATTCTATTACTCTGGACTTTAAGAATGGAGTGGAAGCTAATTCAGATGTATTTAGCTTCTGTAGACTTTGGACATGAACTTTTTTCATTGGATGCATTGCAACTTTTATATTACATTTACTTTTTAACTAATTTTAAAAGTCATAGAAGTTCATTGTTGAAAATACAAAAAAACGCATAATGGGAAAAAACACTTATATTCCAAGGAATGCTTGGATAACAATCATTCAAATTTTAGTGCCTAGGCTTTAAGCCATTCCCTATGCATATACATACCTTTTATATCATTGGAATTGTACTAAACATACTCTTATGAAATCTTCTTTTTCACCTATAGTATGCCTCTCACCTATTCTATCTTATCCAGGCAGATGGAATACTATCTAGTAGGGTTATCATTTACAAGCAACTTATAAAACATGTTGGTAAGAAAATATGTTAAATACATCAAATATAGAATTTTACATTTCATTTTATTTAAAATAATCATTTCCATTAAAAAAAGAGTAGAAATAATGACTTTTTTTAAAAAAGAATATAAAGATATCTATAAAACATCATTAAGTGAAAAAAAATTGCAGAAAAATATATAATTAACCCCACCCCAAGAACACATTTATTATATATATATAGTGTTTTAAAAATACTAAAAGATAAATTATAGCAGTATTTCAAAGAAGGAGGGAGATTTTTCCTTTTTATTTTACATATATCTATATTGTATGTAAATTACAATACAGATCTTTCAATGATCATGTACTACTTTTGTAATTTATTTTTTTAAACAATTAAAATTTAATCAATTGCTTTTAAAGTAGGTTCAAGTAATATCAGAAATAAAAGTTTAATTTCATCTAGTTTACCAAACTGTTGGGCCCCAATATGTCTTCCCATCCTCTTTGACTAGAATCCTCTTCCTTAGTTGCCCTTTCAAGTACCTTTTCTGGCAATATTAAAAAAAAAAGAAATAGGTCCCAGTTAGAATCATTTCTTAATGTCTTGATTCTCAAATCACTTATAGTCCTTCCACTGTAGTTGTAAATTTTCTATGAGCATCATTTGGCTTCCAAAGTGGAAAACAAAAAAGAAGAAAGAAGAAAGAAAAGAAAGAAACCCCGTGTTGCTCATTTGTAAAAGTAAACAAGAAAATGGAGCTCTAGCTAGCCTCTTCATGACTGCATTCCCATCCCATCATTCTATCATCCTACCACCCTGCTACATGCACGTTCTCCTTAGCCCTTTTCAAAATAACCACCTCGGTACCAAGGCAACAGAGTCAAATAAAACTTCCATCTATGGCTTCATAGGAGCCTTAAGACTTCCTTCAAGAGCTACTGGGAAAGTGTCTATCCCAGAACTCCATATATCGCTGGGCTTTTTTAGTCAGCAGATGAGTTTCGTAATCTCCACATACCTATCTACGTGATTTGCCTGAGGTCAACACAGTCTTGCCCTGTTCTTACATCATTTTCCCTGCAGAGGAATGTTACTAATATTTATAATTTGATGCAATGGAAATTCTCAATAATAGGATAATCTTTTAATAGTGTCCACTAAATGAGGTCAAATCTATGGGGATGTGACCATGAGACAAAGTGTCCATCTGGCTATATTAAACAGAGAGCAAGGCCTATTATGGGTAAACATTGTTCTTGGGGATACTTTTGGTTCTTGCAAAACAAATCTTTTTCTAAATGATCACAGACGTATCAGCTCTGAAGGGTGGGAAAAAGAACCTTGAAAATATCTGTGCTAGCCATGCCTCTGCCACTGCCCTGGAATGCCTCAGAACAAGAGTGAGCACTGCCTGGCCCCCAGAGTGTTGTCAGAGGCCTCCAGACTGAATTGCTTTTGTGCTCATTGTTTCAATGATAAGCAGTTCCCTAACCTAACTTTATCAAAAAGCCGAAGTTAGTCACGACTTATTTCCCACAGTTTGGAAGGAAAATATTTATGAATAACCTCAAATTTACAAGGGAGATTGGTATGATAAAAATGGAATAGAAGCAAAGGGGTGTGCCTTGCATAACTGATGGTTTGTTGTTGTTTTTTGTAAGTCTCTTAGAGAATGATTTGTCTAAAAATACTTTTTTAAAAAATGATGCTCTAATCCCTGCATTCCTACCCTTTCACTAAAGGAATTTAAACATTTCTCTACTTTTTGAGGATTACTGATTATGTTTGAGATCTGCAATTTTTTTTTTTTTTTTTTTTGAGACAGAGTCTCACTCTCTTGCCTGGGCTAGAGTGCCATGGTGTCGGCCTAGCTCGTAGCAACCTCAAACTCCTGGGCTCAAGCAATTATCCTGCCTCAGTCTCCCAGGTATAGCTGGGACTACAGGCACGCACCACCGTGCTCGGCTAATTTTTTTCTATTTTTAGTTGTCTATTTATAGTAGAGGCAGGGTCTCACTCTTGCTCAGGTTGGTCTTGAACTCCTGAGCTCAAGCAATCCTCCCGCCTTGGCCTCCCAAAGTGCTAGGATTACTGGCGTGAGCCACCGTGCCTGGCAGAGATCTGCAATTTTTTAAATGAAAAATTCCCAGATTGATTATGAGTCAGTTCATATATGCTGGATAACTAAAAAAGCAGAATATTAGTCACAAGAAAGAAATTATCCACTGGGCCAAAGAGGTGTTTCCAAAATGTGAGATGTGTGTTCTGTTAAGAGAGGGTTTAATTAGTACATGCTGAATATACCCCTAATGTCCTTAATACATAGTCACAGGTGGGGGATATTGTTCCAAACTGTGGTCATTAGTAATGAATTGATTTATAAATCCAAGACTATCCAAGATTTATTAGAAATGATCAAATCATAATATGCTCATCTGAACAAGAGGGAACAGCACCAAAGAACCTTGTTTGCCAGAAAGAAAAACTACCACTGTTAGCAAATTTTCACAGTTATCAGTTAAATGGTCTGTCCAGAAACTCGTTAGACACCTCCTTCTCAGCCAGGACACTACCAGGGGTTTCCAACTTGGCAAATAAAAAACAAGAAAGATGATATCAACAATAGCAAACAATAAGAGTTTATTACAAGCTAGGCACTATTTTAAGTGCTTTACATGTGTTGTGCTCATTCTATCCTCCTAAGCACCTCTGAGGTGAGTGCTAATATTATCTCCATTTCCCAGATGAAAAAACTGAGGCACAGGGAGACTAACTAAAGTGTTCAAGTACACTCAGCTAATAACTGTAAAGCCTGGATTTGAACCCAAGCATTCTAACTCACAAAGTTCATATTTCAGATGCTAAAAAGGGATTCTGGCATTCAGAAAGGAATTCATGTCAGGTGATACCAACTGCACCATTTTCCTCACTGGCGGTTTCTTTTCAATCATAGCTGAGGGAAGAGAATGAAGGTCAGCATTTCTCCCAGTTTCCTTCTTCACACTCTGAATGGTAATGTATTCCATTATTGCACTCTGTGATTGCATCATTTTCTACTCTCTTTCCTATGGTTACAGTGCCCTTAGAGTAATGCTGCTTACCATAATTTATACTATGAGGAAATGGTCAGAGTCCCTTTTTAACCTCTGCTCTGTTCCTCTTGGTCTGATTTTCTGAGGTCCATCTGGGCAGAATGTCTGCTTTTGCATTTATTAATAATGATCCCGAATGAGCTACTGTGAAATTCAACACCATTTCAAATCTATTCTCTCAGCTCAGACTTTTGCTGTGTAGAGAAATTCTGCTAGCAAGATGAATGAGAATGAATTACAGCAGAAAGAGACAAGAAAACAGGAAAAAAATTGAGAATGTGGGCACTTTGTCAACCAAGTAAGGGAGGGGAGAAAGAGACAGGAAAATGATAAAAATATAAGAGACTAAAGGAAAGCAACAGCTAGAAAATGAACCAGGTGGTTTATTCTAGTAAGAATGTGCAAAATATTTCAAAGTAGCATATACTCAGTAAACTCTTCCATTGCTAGATACCATGATTTATGTATCATATTTCTGAATATTTGTTACCAAATGTTTCCATCTAATTCTCTTGCTGTTAGTTGTGTTTGAATCAGAGCCAGAAAAGGTATAGAAGATAAAATAATACAGAAACCTTAGGTAATGGTAATTAGGAAATTAGGAAACCAATTCGTTTTACCACATACCAAAACTGAATTTTTAATTTACCTTTTACAGACTAGTCAACAAAATATCAAATATCAATAAGCATTGCCTAAAAGTCTTTTTCAATATACCTACTCATCATAATAATGGTTATCACTTTTGCCCTCATTAAGTGCCAAGTGCTATGATAAACTTTACATGGATTTTCTCCTCATATAGTAGCCCTATAAAATCAGTAACATGAGGCTGAAAACAAGGGCCAGAGTGGTCAAATAACTTGCCCAAGGTCACAAAGCAAGTAAGGGGCAAAGCTAGGATTTGAACTCTGATTTACCTGCCTTTAGAAGCTATACTTTTAATCTCTATGTTCTACTGAAGCCTTTAAATCAATGATTCTCAAATAGTATGCATAAAAACCAGCAGACAGATTTTTATAACACAGAGTTCCAGGCCTCTACCTGTTTCCAAAGTTCTGGGTGGGGATCAGGAAGGGACATGTTAATAAGCACCAGTGGCAACTCAGATCATGACTTATAGACAAGACTTTGAGAAACACTACTCTAGACGCTCTTAAAGAATAGTTGTGACAAAGTCATCGAATCATTCATTAGTTCTATTTCTTCAAATGTATCTCTCTCTGGTCATAAATCTACTTGGTCTTCATCACAAATGTTATTTTATGTATAACAGAATCATTAGTCCTGTTATGGTTATCCAAAAACTAAGATAGTGGAAAAAAGGGAATTGAAAGGCTATCCCTCCAGTAATTATGTACCCTTACTTCCTAAAGTGGCCTTAAACAGAA